ACATATATATATATATATACAGCTATATATATATATACATATATATGTATATATTGGGGGCCTCACGCGCCCCCCCCCGACCCGCATTTGCTCAGTTTGACCGTGGGGACCCAATGTCGCCCCCGCAGGGCGCCCTGCGCCCCCCGGGAGTGGACGGCCGGATTGACGGCGGGCCCCGCGGTCCAAAAAGGCAGTGGTGACCCCTGGCGCTGCTGGCTTTGGATAGAGGGCCCATGGGAGAGCCAGGACGCTTCGCCCTTCAGTGAAAGCGGCCCAAGACCGACACCGACGGACCTGGACCCGCAAAAATGACGGCCGCGACGCCCTCCCGCGAACCGAAAACGGCCCACTCACTCATCGACGTGTCAGGGTGGGGGGTCCATCAACCTCCGACTCTTCGGTGGGCCCGTGGGAAAGCCGGGACGCTTCGCCACTAGGGAAACAAAAAGTGACATACACATAAAAATTCGGAGGTCCGCGCGGATTTCTCGGATCGGCGCTGGGGCCCCCCGGCGGCGCCTCCGGCGCCGCCCCTGGCGCGCTCCGCGCGCCAGGGAGGGGGGTCCAGCGCGGATCCGAGAAATCCGCGCGGACTTCCGAGTTTTTATGCTTATGCCACTTTTTGTTCCCCTATTGGAGCACGCGACCCAGACCCCCTCGAGTAATGAAAAAGTCACGACGGAAGGTTTTCTGAATTGTCGGCCTTGGGGGGCCCTCGCCGGGCCTCGGGAGCGTCAAAACACGACTCGGGATGCAGAGCCGGTCATGGGGAAAGGGTCGGGACCTCTGGGGGTCGACGCAATGAAAAAATCATTACGTCGGGGGTTTGGGGGCCGCGGGCACCATTGCCAGTGGGCTTTGCAGCTGGCCTGCGGGGCCATGGCGCCGGCGCGCCCGTCGGCCCCGTGGACGCGGGGCCACACTTTCTCAGAGTCTGTGGCGAGCTTCCCCTCCCGCCCCGACCCCTTCACAGTGGCGCCCGCCTCCCCAGCCGCCATGGAGACGCTCGAGGGCCAAGTCGTTGAACTGAAGGATCCCAGGACACGCAGGGGCAAGTGAGAGGGGCACTGCCAAGTGTCTCGCACGCCTCTTCACCCCCGGCATGCGGGGGGCGGCGGCGGATCCCGATCCCCCTGTCGTGCCCCCCCATCGTAGCCCCTATCGTTTCTGCCTCAAGCTGGTTAGGGTCTGCTGCAGCAAGGGCGTTACATTTGTTTGGCCCCGGGGAGGAGTACCTCGTGGCCGCGGCGGCGAACTCCACTCCGAAATCCTGGCCAGAACGCACCTCGAGACACGCCCAGGGGCCCACTGCGAGACTCAGGAGCGCGAGCCCTGGCGGCTCCCAAAACAACCGCGCTGGAGGTTCGTCGCCGTTCTTCGGTGGGGTGGTCGTTTCAGGACCCTGGAGATGCCCATTACGGACAATGCGGGGTGAGAAGCCAGCACCGAGGAAGGAGTCGAGAGCTCCCAGGACTGGTGGCTCGAAGAGACCTTGCTGTCCTCGGGGGCGGCCAAGAGGGAGGTGATGACTGGGGGGCGTGAATATCATGGCTGTGGCCATGATATAGCCCCCAAGATCTCACGGCCCCTCTTCTTCTTTCATTACGTCCCTTGGCCCCCGCCGTGATTCGCGAACCTTCCTCGTGGACGCCCCCCTCTTGGACGCCCCCGATGTCGGAGGTCTGGGTATGGGGCCGGAGCAGACGGCGCCCGTGGGTCGAATTTCGCGTCGCCGAGGCATCGGTGATGCATCGGCGGCGTGGTCCCAGACATGCCCGCGTCGTAAAAGGTCGGGACGCAGTTTTCTCGCCGCTTTCGGCCTCCAGTGGCCCTCGCCGGGCCCCGGGACCGTCACGGAACGACTCAGACTGAAGAGCTGGCCCCGTGGGAGGGGACGGGACTTTACAGTCGGCCCAGATTAGTAGGTCGACCCTGCCATATCAAGGATACCCTTGTGTCCTGTGTCTCGCGACCCATGCTTCCTGCATTCTTTGTCGCTGACGTGCCTCAAGTCGCCTCCAGTACACCCCACCGCCTGCTGACTGGCGCCCGTCTGACAGTCTTGGACCACTTGGCGCTGGCGGACTTACCACTATGTGCGGTAGGAAGGGCGTGTGGAGGGCAAGGATGACGTCACAGGTGTTGGTCACGGTAGGGGTCGGTTACCCAGACATGCGGCGTCTTGATGTGTTCAGTACGCGGGTTCCTTGGAAGTCCCAGCCACTTCCCTGGGCCCTCGGAAGGGTCTTGCGTCCTCTCGCGTGTCCTGTCCAATCAAGTCCGACTGCACGGGGACCGCGCATGGCAAGAGCTGGACCTCGCATGTCCGGGCTGCGGCCGCTGAGCGCTTGCCTCCTCCCAGCCCGCGCAAGCGCGCGCGCGCGTGCGGCCTCTGCCGCGCTGCGGCGCCGAAGCGTCTGGGGTGCGGTCTTGCAGCCCCGCTTGGCAGGCCTTCCCCCCACGTCCGGAGCGGACGGCAGGCTCCTCCTCCTCCTCCTCCTCCTCCTCCTCCTCCTCCTCCTCCGCCTCCTCCTCCTCCTCCTCCTCCTCCTCCTCCTCCTCCTCCTCCTCATCCCCCTCCTCCTCCTCCTCTGCACGGTCGAGGGCCCCGCCCCGCCAGTCGGCGCAGCGGAGCTGGCGCAGAGCGCCCCGGTCCGCGGGCGCGGAGCGAGAGCTCCCAGGGGCCCTAAGAGCCGACGTTGCCAAAAAAATTGCAACATCGCAGGGAATCACGGCCAGAGCTAGGGACACGAACAATGACATAAGCATAAAAATAAAAACTCGGGGGTCCGCGCGGATTTCTCGGATCGGCGCTGGGGGCCCCCCGGCGGCGCCTCCGGCGCCGCCCCTGGCGCGCTCCGCGCGCCAGGGAGGGGGGGTCCATCGCGATCCGAGAAATCCGCGCGGACCTCCGAGTTTTTATGTTTATGCAATTTTTCGGTAAGAGCCCCAGACACCATCTTTCGGCGGCGTGTGTCGAGCCGGATCGATCTGCGAGGGCCCCGGGGCTCGAAGTGGAGCGAAAGCGCCGGGGCTGAAAAGATTGCAGCGAGAGGATCTCCTGCCTCCGTCCTCCCACTGCTCCGGCCTCCGTCCTCCCTCCTCCGTGCTCCTGACATCCTCTGCCGCCTCAGCCTGACCTGTTTACTGTGCTGAACTTGACTTTCGGTGCCTGTGCAGAGTTTTCGAGCTTCGACTTTTAGTCTAGCCATACGAGCTGTCTGTGCTAACTGCCTCTGCTAGCCGCAGCGCCACTCTTTCGCGACAGCCGCCAAGTTCAACGCGCGTGCAATCCGAAAATCCTGCTGCTGCCTCCTCTGGCGCGGTTCGGTCCCTGCCTCTCTGGCCCCGCCGCGCGCGGCTGTCTTCTACGGCGTGTGCCGGAGCAGCCGCAGGGCGCCGGGGCCTCCGCCACCCCCCGCCCGCTGCTCGCGCCCTCGCGGGCCCAGCCGCTGGGGCCGCCCACGAAAGCTCCATCCATGGATTTCTCTGACATCGGCAAGCTCCCCACTCGGGGGGCTTATCTTGTCGCCGAGGTGCCCCTCGCCGCCAAAGGCGCCAGTGGGCTCCTAGAGCTTGGAGCCGCCTTCTCCTGCATAGTCCTGCACAGCGTGCTTGAAGTAGTCCAGCGAGGCGGCAGCGGCACGGACTCGCCACGCCTGGTGCATCGAGGCGGGGGCGAGGAACTGCAGCACAAAAGCAGGAGCATGGGACAGCATAACACGTGGTCGAGAAGGTTGCTTGCAGAGCTTAAGGGTCACAAGCTGCCCAACAGACCTGCTGCGCCCGAGGGGGAAGTGGAGCGCGCGCCACCCCTTGCTTCGCCACGATTTTGCTGCGACTCCAGCGCAGCAGGTGCACAGACCAGACGGGGCCAGGCTTGTTTCATGCTTTTGATCGCTGGCAAGGGCCGTCGACGCATTGAGGACCTTCAAGAGCAGCTGTGCTGAGCTTGCGGGCGGAAGCGCACGAAATGAACATTATTAATTTGCCCGACGAGCATTGGAGAAGTCAGGAAGTTGAAGTATGGGTCCATCGGATCCAGATGGGGGGATTCCTGCGGGAGGTGCGGGAGGTGCGTGGGCCCTTAATTAGGAGGCCGCGAGCAATCTCCCAGGTTGAAGTATAGACCGCAGGGAATAGGTTGCCTGAGTGCTCGTGAAAGGGTGGGGATTCACATCGAAAACGAATGTCAGGAGCTCAATCACCATCGTGTTAACTGCCAAGAAATATGGAGCCCTGTGTCTGGCTAAGGATACCAGTTCTTGCATGAGGTGTTTGGTCGGGGGACGTGAGGCTGCAAGGGTTGGCCAATGCCAGGTAGCCTCATAGATGCGCCTTTGATGAGAAGCCGCAGCGAGACGTGTTCTCGGTCATGCGAGCACGGATTCAGCAAACGATGGTGATTGCCAGTGACGTGTTGTGATGGTCATGCGCACATGTGTCATGAGGGTAGGGCAGCGTGTTGGGACTTCAATTTACTACTCAGCGCTTCGAGGTTGTTGCGCGTGCGATTACACATGGGTGGCACCAGAAGTATCAGGAATGGAGCTCGAAGAGTGATTTCTTGGGGACCTGAGGCGCGGCAGGAGCTCTGGAGGCCTTTACATCCGCACCTGCCGTGACCTGGGCCCCGCCCCGTTCTTTCCTGGATTGCGCGCGCTGGCTGGGGACCCTGATGTTACGATTGACATGCATTGCAGGGCTCGTTTCGATTCCTCCGATTCGAGTCGATTCGACTTCGATGGCCTCCGATTTCGATTCGATTCGACTTGAGATACCGATTCGGGCTCCGATTCCTTATTGGAGGCTTACTAGCTTGCCGTTTCCCGCCGATTTGGCTTCTCGTCTCGGCCGCCGACTCCCGCCGATCCGATTCATTTCGATCGCCGATCCGACATGTCGATTCGATCCTGGGCTCTCCTGTGCATTGTCGGACCGTCTCGCAAGCGTGATGCCCCTTCGTCCGTCTCACCTCTTTTCCCTCCTCCCCGTCCTAG